TCCGGGGCACAACACCACCTGGTGAACCCAGGCCCCAGGGAGGCCCGGCTCAGGACAACCAGGGCCAGGGCCTATTCGGTAGCGGCTCCTACCTGGTGGAATGAGCTCCCAGAGGAGATCAGGGCCCTGTGGGACTTGGCACAGTTTCGCGGGGCCTGCAAGATGGAGCTCTTCCACCAGACATTCGCTTCCCACTTCCACCAACGATCCCTTAAACAACTGGGAATGGAATGGCCCTGGAAGATCATACTGCAGCACCACGGTGGACCAGAATGGTTGTTCTGGGATATAGACAGTATCATTTGAACATCATCAGCCAAATACCATCTTTTAGATTAATGTAACATCTTAGAGCACTTGTTAATGATCTTTTTTATTGTGTTTTATTATGTCTATTTATTGGCACAAAGTGCCCTATCTGTAAGCCGCCCTGAGGCCTTTGTGGGGAGGGTGGGGTATAAACTTAATAATAAATAAATAAATAAATAAATAAATAAAAATGGAGGATAGGTCTCTCAGTGGCTACTAATGACTCAGGGGAACCTCCACTTTCAGAGACAGTAAACCTCTGAATATCAATGCCAGGAGGCAATGTCAGGGGAAGGCTTCAGTCCCTATGCCCTATTGATGGAACTCCAGAGGAACTGGTTGGCCACTGTGTGAAACAGGATGCAGGACTAGATGGACCACAGGTCTGATCTAGCAGTGCTTTTCTTTTGTTCTTATGCTCTGATTCTACTGATCCTTAGCACAAATATTAATTTTCAGAGCTGATCCTAAAGCTTAATAGAGCATTACACTGTGAGCTATATATTTATATATTCAGTTGGATGGTCTGAAACCCTTTGGTGGTAGGGATAGCATCAAAATTCTGGTCATCTGACTTTTGCCCTGAATTTAGAATGTCAAAAGATCTGTTTTGCAAAATGGAACTATTGTACTATTGATCCTCCATTATTTCATTTTACTATATATTTCTAGATTTATTTCAGAGTGTTGTACCAATGCAGCTTGATGTAGTTTCAAATTCTTCTTCATCTCTCCTTGATATTACCAGTGCACGTGTGCATACTGATGCAACATGGCAAAAAGAAAAAGTAGCCTTGGGTTTCGATCATATGCACAATTAGACCCGACATCGGTGCGAATGCTGGGCAGATTCAGGGCGCGATCAGACAACAACATCTGAGAAGCACCCCGCAGCCATCGGCAACCCATTCTGCTCTGTCGCAGAAGTGGAGTTAAAATACACCAGGGAAAATCCAGTAATAAACGGGTTGCGACAGGCCACGGATGGACTTTCCCATGTCTGATTGCTCCAGTGTGCTCTCATGGCGTTGGGATGGTCTGATCAGGCTATCCTGACTCTGTGTCATTGTTCCCCCCCCCTTTGCAGTATGCGCATCATTGCAAACTCCATAGGGAGCCCTCGGTGCAGAGGTGCAATTCATCAATCCCTCGGTTAAGCACATGGGGGGGAAATGGCACAAAAAACCCCTGACACCCACAGTTGCATCTGATAATTAAGCTTCCCGCCCCAGAGGCCCGTTCCCCGCCGCTGGTGTATCGGGCCCCAGGGAGAACCCCACCTCGGCGTATGCGTCACCAGAAAGTGACGTTATGATGCCGGGCATGCTGGGGGCGGGGCCACGGTCATCCGAGGGAAAACTCTATGGTTTTCCCTCGGATGGTCGTGACCCAGGGGGACCCCCACCTCGGCGTGCACGTCACCAGGAAGTGACGTTATGACGCGGGGCATGCTGGGGGCGGGGCCCCGGTCATCCGAGGGAAAACTCTATGGTTTTCCCTCGGATGGTCGTGGCCCCG